ATTTAGTTGTGCCTAGTTACAGACCAGGATTGACAAAAATGGTTCTTAGCTCAAGAAGCTTGTGACCTCAGTCACCTGTTGTGACCAAAGTGAGAAAGTTCATCTCTATGATGCTGGCAGATGTCCAAATTAAATAATCTGTCACAGTCTTTGAATTATGTGTCTGTGCTAATGGATAATTAGTACCCAACCTCTGCATTTTTAAACTGATTGTGTTTCTCTAAACGTGGTCTGAGGATTTTTTTTCCCTGAGTGAGTTGCTTTGATGCCCATCCCTATCAGGCCTCTGCAAATTTAATCCATGAGAATTGATTTTAGTTGGAGGGTTTTTTCTTTGTGCTCCATTTGCATCTGTTTTCCCTGGCCCTCCCTTGTTATCAGGAAATCTTGGCCTCCAAAAGGTCACTCTGGGTGCATGAAGCAAAAATTTCCGCTTCCTTTTTCTGCCACTTAAGCAAAAAAAAAATCATAATACTGAAAACACAAATACAAAATTCATAGTAAGAGTTTTTTTCACTATTTTTTTCACTTCTAAACAGATTTTTTGTAAAGAAAGAGGCTAGACCCAGTTCTGTGTGTGGTTCTTTTTGTGCTCTAGTAGATAACTTCTAATTCCTGTTTGGGACAACAAATGAATACATTTTAATCTCTTCTGGGCCTGATGTCTTTTTTTTTTTGTTGGATTCCAGCCTCAAGTTTGGAACAGCCTCAACTCTGGGTCAGTGACAAGATAACGTCACCCTCACCGACCTGCCCTTATCTAGAACTTCATTAGTGCACTTCTATTTTGAGAGCCTGTTTCTCTTTCTTTTAAGGCTGTTTATTTTCAAAAGGAGTGCAGGCAGTTTGCTTAGCTGGGTGTTGAATATTTTTTTTAAATCCCTTCTGTTCTACTAGCCCTTTATTTTCCCTAGAAAAAACTCCTAGTTTCAGTTGAGCACGTGTTGTAGGAGATGCTTCATTTGCATGAAGCATATTTTCAATCTAAAATTCATGTGCAATTAATGAAAACAGTGCTTTCTATAAAATATGGAGGGTCCTTAATAATCTTCCCTTACACCACAGAAGTGCTGCTGGACTTAATGCCTTTATCTGACATATGTCTCAGCAGCTTTTCATAGAATTATTAAGGTTGGAAAAGATCTTTAAGATCATCAAGTCCTTCCAGGGACTTGATGGTTTTTGAACCCCTCCAGGGATGGTGACTCCACCACCTCCCTGGGCAACCTGTTTTAAGCTGAATCAGTAGATTTGAAATATATAATAGATCCAAAAAATATCAGAACCCCAAAGCAGAGGTTGAGATCTGTATTTTTGTGCCTTTTTCATAGGGGATGTGTGTGTAGATTCCTGGAAAATGGCCTTTCTAGGGAAAAATGGGGGTCAGAGTCTGACATCCAAACTACACACCTTTTAATTCACAAAAAAACAGGCAGTGGCATGGAATTCCTCATGGTGTGAGGGTCATAATTTTAGAAAAACTGAAGGCAATAGTTTTGCCAGTGGTGTGGCAGCTGGAGGGGCTTTTAAAACCCTTCCTTTTTACGTGTTGCTCAGATTTAATGCATTCATCAACAGCAATTATTGATTCCTCTGGTTTATTAACCATCTCTATACCCATACCCTCACTTCCCTTTGCATAATGAAGGACACAAGGTGCTGGAGTGGCTGGTGTTGGCCACACAGAACATGATTTCATTAAACTGGGATGTAAAGGAGGAGGAAGTGCACCAGGACTACCAGGATCATGAAGAGCATGAAGCTTGAAAAACTTCTGACAGCTCATCTCTACTTAACAGGTTGTTTAACAAGACAGAAACACGTTCTCTTGCTCAGACAAGCTCTAAATTGAAGCAAGAATTTATCCAATATCACTACTACCAGGATCATGAAGAGCATGAAGCTTGAAAAACTTCTGACAGCTCATCTCTACTTAACAGGTCTTAGAATTAGATTTAACAAGACAGAAACACGTTCCCTTGCTCAGAGGAACTCTAAATTGAAGCAAGAACTTATCAAATATCACTGGAATCAAGCACTTCTTATAAAACCCTACCTTTTTCTAAGAGCAGGTTTGTCTCTTCCTCCATCCTGTGCTCAACTGAGATGTTTAAAAGAACTGTTGGCAGTTATTTTGCTGGAAAACAGGAGTTTTCAGCACTTGATCCCAATTTTCTGCTCTACAGCTGGTTGCAAATAGAAAGAACATATAAAAAACCAGCTTAGCATATGTGAAGGCAAAGGTGCATTGTCCTAATTATCAATGTCAAGGGTGACTAATTAGTATTTATCTGTACTAATGGAAAGTATTAGTTCCCTGGTTGATTTTCAGAATATTTTCCTCTTCTTTTAAGAGGTTGGAATAATTATCTGGATAGTGAAAGTTTTGGGTCTTTTCCTTGCTGCTAATCCAACTAAATCATTCATTTCATTGAACTTTTTCTTGAGATGATATTCAGAATGGAAGTGGAAAACAAATGATCCTCTTGTTGTTTTAATTAAATTACTCATTTGTACATAAACTCCAAGCACCACCTTTGGCAGGTCTGGGGTAGAACATAAGAATGGAACCTGACAGGGCTTAGGAATTTGCTTCTTCATGTGCAAAAGGAGAGTTGCCAAATATTTTTCCTTCAGCACTGGCAGACACCAAGCTCTTGGTATTGTGCTGGTGCTTGGTGCTTGCAGAGTGTTACTAATTACCCAAAGCAGTGGAGCAACCTTTGCTGGGCTCTGGCAGGCTCCTGGACCTGGGTGTTGAGTGATTCAAAGAGTTCTGCAGAAGAATCTGCCCCTCCCCAACTGCTGCTGGGGTGCCTGCTGCACTGCTGAATTTCCCAGGAGGGAGGGGATGCTTCCTGGGGTGACTTTGAGGTGAGGAATGGGAAGACCTGCCTTTGATATCAAAAATGGCACGTGTCAATAGCAGCCTTGAAAGCAGCTCTTTAATGTGGAGGCTTTTTTCTGCTTCATCAGTTGGGCCTACCAGCCCCAAGTTTAAAATTTACTTTACACTTGAATTTCCTGTCCCCTAGTGCACGATTTATTTTTCCTTTTAAAACACACCAAGCCCCTTTTGTTCCTTGGGTTGTGTAAGACAGCAGTGCCTAAACCACTTCTGAAACAAGAAAAGGAGATGGGGAAACATGTCAAAATCCTCTGTGGTTCTCAATACAGAAGTTTGGATCAGAATTGGTTTGGACTTTTTTCTGTGTGCCAAAAGGACTTTTTTTTTTGCTTTCCAGAGCAGAGCTGTGTTGTCTCTGTGCTCAGATCAAGCTCCTCTAGCAGAGTAATTCTTAGGCTGAGAGAAGTCTACTCACCTGAGTGAGCATCAGAGATTCTCATTTCTCTTTCTGGGGGGGAGAAGAGCAAGATTTCTTTCATTCTTTTTTTTCACCTGATTCCTCAGATGAATGACAAATCCTATCATCTGTTGCATAGGGGATAATGGCAGGGTTGGGGCTTGAGCTGAGATGTGTGGGCAATTATATTCAGATTTCCTGAGGAAGGGAAAGATTTGAAGCAATTTCAGTTAATACTGATTATACCCTTTGCAAATAAAGTCACTGCCTTGTTGGAGACAAAGCTGTGACCATGAAGACAAGTACATTTTATATTCAATTTCTATAGAGGAAAGGCTTTGAACAGTAAAAGTGGATGTGTGTTGCTTTATTTTAAAGAAATCTCATTAATAGAAAAGCAGTAATTACCCAAATTCTGATTTCTGGATAGTAGAGTGTGGCTGGATTGTGGCACTTCTTTTATACTAACAAGAATGATGGTTTTTCAGAAGTCTAGAAAAACATTTCTTAAATTAACAAATGAGATGGGAATAATTGTACTATTTTTTTCTCAATTTACATGTGAATACATGAAAATTGCCTTTAAAATTGTTGGCTGCCTAGCCAAAAATCAATTTAATGCTTTAACTCCTCTGTTGCCCAAGGACCCTCCAGGGCTTTGAATGGGGGATACGTTTTGGTAAGTGAAATATAAGCATGGGAGGTCCTGAATAACTCTCCAAAATTTGGTGGATAAGTGTGGAAAATGGGTGAATAAGTGTGCTAGACACTTTTAAGGACCTGGAGAAGGAGGAGGACAAATGCTGTGGTTACAACCAGCACTTTTATCCCTTTGGAATGGGCACTGGTGAGCTGTTTGAAGGGCTTGTTGTTCAGGAGAGTGAAGATCAGTGATCCATCCATTTATTTAGTCTAAATAATCATTAATAAGTTTAATCACTAATAATTTTTAGACTAACAGTGAAACTGTGTCCTTTGTTTCCAGGAGTAAAGTGTATCTTGGTTTTTAAGCCTTAGCCCATTTCTTCATGCCAACAAGTCTACAGATGTAACTCTCTTTAAAAGCACTTGGAACTAAATGCCAAATCAACAATGTGGAACAATTTATACCCTGAAATATTGTAGTCAAGGTGATAATTTTTGTGTCTAGGTATCCTTTGACCATAGTGTGTTTTGCATGTTGATTTGCCAGCATTATTTTTAATTGAAGTAAAATCTTTCTGTATATCAAGGTCTTTGTGGTTCTATCTTTGATATGTAAGATGCATTCAGCATGTGGCTGGGGTGTTGAGATGATGGGTAGAAGTACCATCTACAGCTACAAAAGAAACTTTGTGAGCCAGATATCAAAATTTAAGCCCTTTGCTAATAAATAGCTGCAGGAATTAAGAATGACAGTGCTGACAAACTTCTTGATTAAACCCACCACAGTTCCAGCCCTTCTGCTAAAGTGCTTTCCAGACCTTGAGCATCCAGCCTGGAAATTGGAGGGCTCACAGACTGTGGAGGGGTGGTCAGATCCCCTCCTGTTCCTGAGGTGACCCACAGTGGTGCAAACCCCTCTGCTTGTCCAGGTTGTTACAAGTTGATATATTAATTTGGGTTTTTTTTAATCAAAAAAAAATAATAATGACACCCTCGTTACTTTTGCTTCTTATTCCTCCTTTTTCTGTTTACTGTATTTTATTTATAGGTGTTGATTTTAAAATCAAAACAGTAGAGCTAAGAGGAAAGAAAATTAGATTACAAATCTGGTAAGTAACACGAACGTGCAACCAGGAGTATGTTTGAATTTTTATGTTCTGGCATGAATTAATGCTCTTGTCTAATACTATTAACTGTTATAAGCTGGTTTAGCTCTTAGCCTGTTCCTCCTCTCCTCCAGTCCCACAAGACTTAAGCAAAACCCAATGACTCCTAGATTTTTGTGAGGGTAAAGGAGGAGAAGGAGAGAGAAAGTTGGAAAGAGGACATGGATGGAATTGCTGGAATGTTAATGCATCACAGAGGTCTCAGACCCTTTTCCTAGAGGAACAATAACACCTGCATGAGAAACAGGAGTTGTACAAGCAACAAAAAGTGGCTGTGTTTAAATAGACACTAGAGAAAGTACTTTTTAAAAAAAAAAATAATTCTGGACTGTTTAAAACTAACCATTTTGACAGCAATGAGAGAACAAGTGGGAAGTGTTTTCTAACCTGATTTTCTAAGGTACAGGCAGTGCTGGTTCTTTGCCACTGGATTAAATACCTTTAAAGTGAAGGGCATTCAAGACTGAAGTAAATTGTATCCCCTCAAAACAGCACTGAGAGGTAAAACAATGTAAATCTAGAGCCATACAATGAAGACTCTATCCCTTGACTGGTAGCCATGCCCTACTCCAGAAAACCCAAACTCTGAGCTATAAACTTGCCCTTTCTGGAGCAGGTAATGATTCTCCATGCCAAGGATTAATGGAATTTTTATTCTGTAGGACTGATGGAGCTGAAGATTTTCTAAGGTACAGGCAGTGCTGGTTCTTTGCCACTGGATTAAATACCTTTAAAGTGAAGGGCATTCAAGACTGAAGTAAATTGTATCCCCTCAAAACAGCACTGAGAGGTAAAACAATGTAAATCTAGAGCCATACAATGAAGACTCTATCCCTTGACTGGTAGCCATGCCCTACTCCAGAAAACCCAAACTCTGAGCTAAACTTGTCCCTTCTGGAGCAGGTAATGATTCCCCATGCCAAGGATTAATGGGATTTTTATTCTGTAGGACTGATAGAGCTGAAGAGCCCTTTTGTTTTGCAGGGTAGCACGACCCCTAAATATTGTAATGAGAGAATAAACCAGCTCCCTTCTGTACATTAATCTTAGGTACTGCTGTGTAAAAGCTTAGCTGTTGTTTTTAACAGTCTGTGATGCATAATTGGCATTGTACTTAAACTATTGAGGATGCTAACAATCCATAGAGGGGGGGAAAAAAGCTCTAAATGCACTCACAGTTACACTTTGGGGATATTCTGGTGGTTTCTCATTCTTATCTACATGGATGCAGTGACTTCAGCTTACTAACTCCTCTTGGCAGGTCACCATCAACTCTGTCTGTCACACCATGTGTCTGTCTTGCTTCCCTCTGAGTTAACTGCTGCTTCATCTTTGGTGTCACCAGTCACCTAACACTTGAATGTTAGTGGCATGTCTTCATCCATCATCTGTCCCTGTCTGGAAACCTGTGACCACAAGGCTGGCAGTTGGGCCAGCAATTGTTAGCCAGGCTCTGCTGGAGCTGACAGAGGTAACAAAAAACTTCTGGTGGGGAGATGCTGCTGTACAATCTGAATTCTTGCTCTGAAATGTGCTAAGCTGGTTGAAAAATTGCTTCATGTTGAATAAATACTTGATAGGAGGGATGTTTTGTCAGGGAAGAGATGTTTAAACCATTATTTTCCACATATTGAGAATATGCTGGTAGGATATAAGAAACTTCTAAAACTAAAACTGGATGGGTTGCTAGAAGTGACCATTGCTGCTGTGTGGAGCCTGCTAAAGTGGTGGAGGACACACCATGTGAAGAGAGAAAAATGTGAAGTATGATGGAATCCATGAACACAAGATCCTGCTCCAGAGTGTCACTTTTTCTTCAACTGTGACTGTTCTTGTACTTAGTCCTTAAAACTGGCTTGGCATACTTGTAATTTCTGTGTAAAAGGAATTAGATAAGCACTCCTCCTGCTAATTTATCCTGAATTATGTTGTGTGTGTTGTTGGGCCTGTTTTTATAAACTCTTACTATCACAGAATTATATTTAGATTGGTAAAGACTTTAAAAATCATCCAGTCCAACCATTCCCCCATCCCTGCCAGGTCCCCACTGCCCCGTGTCCCTCACCCCACATCTCCACAGCTTGGAAACCCCTCCAGGGGTGGGGACTCCACCACTGCCCTGGGCAGCCTGGCACAGCCCTGGGCAACGCTTTTGGGAAAAATTTTTCCTCATGTCCAACCTAAACCTCCCCTGGGGCAACTTGGGGCTGTTTCCTCTTGTCCTGTCCCTTGTCCCTTGGGAGCAGAGCCCAACCTCACTGGCTGCAGCCTCCTGTCAGGAGCTGTGCAGAGCCAGAAGGTCTCCCCTGAGCCTCCTTTGCTCCAGGCTCAGCACCCCCAGCTCCCTCAGCTCCTTCTGGTACCTTCAATTGTTAGATGAGAAGAGGAAAGCATTTTACTGAGTCAAATACTTGAAAGTTCAGAAATGTAGACTCAAGTTGCATGGCAGTAGAGTGTTAGTAGTGTACAAACTGGACTTGTCTGTGTTCCTTCCACAGTGGGACAATGTGTGTTGAGGATCAAGGAGGCATCTGCTCTCCCCTCCACCCTGCCTGTTGCTGTCTGGTCCCTGCTGCCTCACAATCCCTTTTCCCCTGATTTCTCTGATTTCCAGTCAAAACAACCTCCTGCTCCTTAGGTTATGAAATTGCAGAGCAGTGTTGAGGACACAGAGGAGTGTCCATCTTTTCTAATGAACCTCATGAAGTTCAACAAGGGCAAGTGCACCTTCAACAAGGTCCTGCACCTAGAGAGGAATAACCCCTGCAGCAGGACAGGTGTGGGGATGACCTACTGGAAGGCAGCTCTGTGGAGAAGGACTTAGGAGGATAGGGAGTTACTAACCATGAGCCAGCCATGTGTGCCCTCTTGGCCAAGAAAGCCAGTGGTCTCCTGGGGGGCATTCAGAAGTGTGACCAGCAGGTCAAGGGAGGTTCTCCTGCTCCTTTACTCTGCCCTGGTGAAGACACATCTGGAAAACTGGGTCCAGTTCTGGGCTCCCCGGGTCAAGAGAGACAAGGAGCTACTGGAGAGAGTCCAGTGGAGGCTGTGGAGATGCTGAGGGGGTGGCAGCTCTCTGTGCCAGGTGAGGCCCCTGTGGCTGCTGAGCTGGAAAAGAAAAGCCGCAGAAGGGATCTGATCAGTGCTGAGCAAGAGCTAAAGGGCCCCGGGGGGCAAGAGGCTGGGGCCAGACTCTGTCAGTGGTGCCCAGGGACAGGACAAGGGGCAACGGGCACCAACTGGAACCCAGGAGGTGCCACCTGAGCAGGAGGAGAAACTTCTTTGGTGTGAGGGTGCAGAGCCTGGAGCAGCTGCCCAGAGAGGCTGTGAAGTCTCCTGCTCTGGAGAGATCCCAAACCCACCTGGCTGTGACCCTGGGCACCCTGCTGACAGTACATCTGGTTCTGCATTGCAGTTCTTGGCTGAAAGAAGCTCCTGTGTTCTGGGAGAAGCAACCAGGCCGTGGGGTTTGATGCCCCAGGAAGGCAAGAAAACAGTCTTGATTTGCTTCTGAAGATGGTTTAAATTGGTGCATTCTCATCAAAAATTCACATTCTGCCAGCTCAGCGTTTTCTGAGGGCAGTTGTTGGCTTGGAAAATATCTGGGCTGAGGAGTAGTCTGTAGCCTCCATAAAAGCACAGGGCATGTGAAAGTGTGAAATTAGTGCTAAATGTTTATTTCTGTTTAAAAAATTATCCTTTCTATTGCCACTTCACCACTCATAAAAAAAATGAATTTCACTTCAGAGCCAGAGACAGTTTTGAGTCTGTCCATGAGTCTGTTTCAAGCAACTGTTTGAGACAGAGAACATTTATGTGGAAGAAAAAAGGATCCAAACCTATTTTAATGAAGATCAGCTGTATTTGTACTGGATTTTAAGCAGCCTGAACTGGTGAGAATATGACAAATCAACACTTGAACACAGGCTTTGTGTGGGTTTAATTTGCTTTTGTTTAGTGTGGTGGTTGTGTTTTGGAAGCTGTGTTTAGTTTCTGGGTTGGAGGCAGAAAAAGAGAATCAAGCTGTGGGGTTTTTTTTGCTGTAGATTATAGATGGTCAAAGAGTCACTTGGTGGATGTTCCTGATGACAATCTAGACATACCAGTGGCTTTCCATTAGGAGGATTTATTGAGAAACTGCTTTTAGCATGGAAAAAAAGGAGTAACTGGTTGTATTTATTTTCAGTGATCGAGTTGTAGTGATGCATTATTGGGACTTCTGGAGTTGGAATTAATTTGATTTATTCTGTGGTGTTGACTCTGACCAAAGAACTAGCAGCACTTGGTATCACTCATGATACTCATCCAGTTGTGTCCTCTTAGCCCAGTGAAATGATGCTCATCTTGTCTTCCAGCTTTCCATTAATTAGTCCTTCCACAACAAAACTGCTAAAATATTCCAGAGGTGTAGCACGACAATGGAAATAGCTCCAAAACTGATCTGCTCCAGCACCACACGTGAGAGGAAGGCAGTTAAAGTTGGATGTGCTTTTAATATTAGCTCTGTGTTAGGGCTTGTCAGGTTTGGGGAAGAATTTGCTTCACGTTTTCATGAAAAGGAAGATAGCTGGTAGGAGATGAGCTTTTCTGTGTCAAGGATTCATTTGATGCTTTCTCAAACTGCAGCTTACTTGGGTAGCTTAAAGTTACATTCTGAGCTTTATAAATCATTTAGGTTGGAAAAGACTTTTTAAAATTGAGTCCAACCATTCACCTAACTTTACAAATCCACCTCTAAACCATGTCCACACCTCCATGGCTTTAAAACCCTCCCCAGGGATGATTTTTCAACCATTTCCCTGGGCTCAACAACTCTTTGGGGCAAGAAATTGTTTCTGATATCCAACCTAAACCTCCCCTGGTGCAACTTGAGGCTCTTTCTTGTCCTGTCATTTGTTCCTTGGGAGAAGAGACCAACCCTCACCTTGCTACAAGCTCCTTTCAGGAGGAACACACTCATTGCAGAATTTCTGCAACTTTCCTTACTGTACTGATTTTAGAGGCCACAAATTCAGCTTTTCTTCCACTTTTCAAAGGAAACGAGGATGAGGACATGGTGCTTACAATCAGAAACCTGTTGGCTGCTTTCATTTAAACTTGCTGGAGCAGTAGAGGTGTTGGTTGTGTGAGGAAGTGGAGGACTTCAAGCAAGGCAAAGGAAGTCAGTAGTAGCCCATTTAGCATGGCTGGTAGGTGCCAGTTGGTGGCCATCTGGCCAGTTAATCTATGTAGTGGGTCCCCAGGCTGTCTGTGGGTGTTTTAAACTGGCCCTTTACTTCTGTCTCTGAGAACAGGCATGGAGAAGAAAGGGAAGAGGGCCAGCACAAAAAAAAACACCCAAAACTTTTCCATGATTGGTGCCCAAGCTAGAATTGATGTGTTTTTCCACGTCAGGTATGCCCTTCCACCTGCCATCCAGGCAGCTCCCAGTGATGGAACTGAAGGGATCTCACCCTTCCTAGGCTTGATGAGTAGGCTGGACTTGGCAGCAGAGGGCAGAGGCTGCTCTAAAGGTGGGAACTGCTCCTAAGCACTAGAGCCATGTTATCCATATGTGGAAAATCAACGGTTCAGACAAGAGCTGTTAAGTTTTTTCCTGGAGTGAACATCTAAAGGACCTTTCAAAACATCCATCTGGCCATATCAAAGGAGTGGCAGAGGGGAGAGTGGAGTTACTTGCTCTGAGTAATGCTTACAGATGTCATTTCAGCTGCCAGAACTTGTATTGCCTTGATAAAAACGCCTCATTAGTGATAAGCAAGTAACCAATTAATCATCTAAAACTGCTCTGAAATGCTGCTGTTGAAACAGGCTGCTGGTTTTCACCTCCTGGGGGATCCCAAAGGTTTGTATGAAAGTAATTCTGCAGTTCTGGGTGGAGAAAAGGGAATTTGACCCAAAATGAAATCAAACTAGGAATAGGAATTGGTTCTCTTCTGCCCCACATCGTGATGCCCTTGGCTTCAAATTGGTGTCAGGAGGTTTCAAATCTTTTTCTAGTGGGTGCTGGTTTACTTTGGGAAATCGCCAGCAAAGATTTGGTGTGGCCATTTCAGGAGCAAGTGAAATACTTGACTTTGAAAGCTGCTTAGCTGGAATTCTTAAAGCTTTTGTGAAGAGTGAAATAGGCTTGTGGTAGTTTATCCTACTGCTTGTTGGGCTTAGACTTTAAAAGAACTAATTCTTCAGGACATTTTGTGAATATGACTTTTTATGGTTTTTTGGTAACAAGTGTTTTGGGTCTCCATTGTTAATCTCATTCCAAATTCATCCTCCTCCTCCTTTTGTCTAAAATGTGACTGTTGAAGGGAGTTCCTTTGGACCTTTGGAGTCCCAACACAGATGCACACATTTCCCACCATCTGCTTCTCATTTTGGTCCATCTTTAACTTGCTCTAATGATGAAATTTCCAAATTACCCATTGACTCTGGGGGCTGAAGTCAAGCAGCAATTCTCCATCACCTTGGAGCAACATCTAAATTACTTTCCAGCTCTGATACCAGTCACATTTTAAGACTTAGGGTATTTTTTTTAGTATAACTGCTAAAAATCTTCCATAACCCAGCTTAAAATGATAGAATTAAAAGCAGCTCACAGGTTTTCATGCTTCAGTAAACAAAATAACCCATCTGTCTCACCTAGTGTGGAATCCAAACCATAGCTGGTGGGGGGGACGTGGTGTCCCTGCTGGAAAATCTCCTCCAGTGTAGATGCACCCCATCTGAAATAGCAACAACATCTGAATGGGAATGAAATGAAATTAAATGAAATTAATTCCAAACAGCTGCTTTCCAGAGTGGGCCCACAGAGGGGTTGCTCACTCCCTCCATCCTCTTCTGTGGTGGATCCAGAAAGGCTCTGGAAGCTGGAGTCACAACGAGCAACACGTCGCTCATTCCATGGCTGGGTGTCTGGCTGTGTTTGAGGAGCATGTATTGAGGAGCTTTTATTTATTTATTCATTTTTTCAGGGTTCTTAAAACCCCAAAAAAAACCCCCACAACATGACCCCAGCTTCAGCTGCTGGTGCCTTTGCATTGGGCAGCTCCATTCTCAGATGGACATAGAACTGTTTGGTGGCCTCTCTTGGTGAAGTTAGTGTGGGATAAATAGTCCTGAGGTGAAAACTTTTTATGAATGAAAATACTGCTCCATTTTTTTTGGCCTAAAATTCACACATATAGAAGGAAATGTTCACTATAGACTCTCTAATGAGCGTGGGAGTGTTTCTATTAAAATATAACCAGAGTTCTTCTGTGCTTTGCCTGTCGGTGAAATATTTGTGCCAACGTTTGCTGCTGCTTCTTAGGGACACAGCAGGTCAGGAGAGATTCAACAGCATTACCTCAGCTTATTACAGAAGTGCCAAGGGAATTATTTTGGTGTATGATATCACCAAGAAGGAAACATTTGACGATTTACCAAAATGGATGAAAATGATTGATAAGGTAGGTCAGAAATCTTTCCTTTTTCTGCCTTTTAGCCAGGAGTTAACATCCACTTGTTTTTGTTGC